TTCTCCTTGTTCATTGTGACTATTTGCTTTTTAGGGCTTTGGATTTTTTTCCCACTGAATGCAGCAATATTGAGTTCAAATGTATAAACAGATTTTTCCCCATGAATAGAAGAGTAATAACTTCTTTAGTGTCATGTCAGACTATACCCTAAGAGTCATGAATTATCATGCCAGTGGTATTATGGTGCATTAGAAGGTAAAATCATAGGGTTGTCAAAGCGTGTTCTCCTTTTACTGTACAGTCTTGGGTTTTGGGGTGGAATTTAAGGTGAGACATGATGGAGAAAAAGCTAGTCCCCAAAGCTAATCTAAGATTTCAAAGTATTTTTCAAGCTAGGATTTAAAACCTTCATGACAGAGTAATTTTTGACTGAATCTCCTGGCCTCGTGTTCATCTGGTTTTTAATGCTTAACAATCTTTTCTTGCACATATGTGTTGTAAATTTCTAAATCTATACAACTGCTCATTTATTTTTATATTTTTCACTCTTATGACTTTCATGGATGGAATCTTTCTTGTATTAGAGTTAACAATTTTACCATTGACTTCATAAAATTGAAGATTTACTTTAGCTTCTATTCTCTAACTGCATGGGTAGCAGTCTTGAGTAAGAGGAGGAGAGAGAACCAAGCAGATGGAACCTTAAACTTGGCTACACTGTGGAGATGAGCAAATCATTTAGTCCCAAATTTTCCAAAGGATCTTCTAATTCTCAGAATTCTCACCTAGCTCTAGAAAACCAAAATCTTTGCCTGAGCAGCAAATAGTCACATGTTTGAAAATCAAGGCTTACCTATTTAAAGCTGGGCACACAGAAAGCCATTCATAATCAGGATGCATCTAACCCTCAGTATCTGTTCCTCAGTCTTTACAAAATAGAGTATTTCCTTAACTGAATGACAAAGAGGAATGGAAATGTAAGACACCGTACAGGAATTCAGCATGTATAGTACAGACTGGAGAAAGACAAGGAAATTCCAGAGTCAGGCTTGCTGAATACAGTATGAAATTTGCATTTTCAGAATAGACTGGGGCACTCAGACATCCAGTTTCACTTACACAAATACACAGTTAAATGTAAAATGATGTTTCATAAGAAAAAAGTATCTTAAAGCACTGATTCAAGCGTATCACTGCATAACACCGTTAAGCACTTCAGTAAGCTAGTGCTTTGAATTTTTTAAATTAACACGAATGTCTCTGTCCCCTCTCCTGTCTCCCTTTTATAGGACATGTTTTCAGCCTGCCATGTAAAGGAGTTATTTCATTATCTGTGAATTAAGCTGGAGAAAGAATTCCATTATTTAAAGTTAACTCACACAGGAACTGAAAACAACTGTTTCAAGACTCCGTGTTTGCATGAGACTTGCAGCTGGTTTTAAAAATCGTAAAAGTTGTATTTACACGTCTCTGTCTTTTTATAGGTATTACTTGACACAGCAATGTTGGTATTCCCAGAAATGGAGAAGTGGCAGAGAACCATGTCAGGACAGAGGGAGAGTCCACGCTCCTGTGTTTGATTGCGCTGAGGGCCCCTCAGTTTTGTAAGGAGGAAGCTGGCAAAGAGAGGGCCATTCGTTGTAGGGTAGTCATGTGGGCGGAGGGCCTCCTGGATCATGCATGGGAAGGAGTCATGAAACAATGTGAAAAAGAATTGGGTCTCTTTTAGCTTAGACCAAAAGGAAATGTTGTGTATTGATCTATTTTATTATATATCACTTTTTCTAAACATATGTACAAACAACCTTTGCTACTGTTTTGAAGGGTATGCCTACGCTGCTGACAGCTTCTCAGAAGCTGGGCAAACTATCTGCTGCTGTGCCTAGACCGGTAAATTATATTTAGTGTAATTCCAGGCATTTCTACGTTGCACTTTGGTCTGGAGTGCAAAAACAAACAGTTACTTAATTTCAAACAGAAAAATCCACCAGCCTTTGCACCAGCACCTACTGCTTTTGCCTCTCCTTTAACCTGCGTGCCAGTACTCTGAAGCAGCAGCAAGACATCCATAGTGGCCTCCAGTTTAGTTAGTGTGACATCAGTTCAAAGCAAAACAAAGGAGAAACTGGAAGAAAATACAGTAAAAAAATTAAAGAGGGGGCAAATGAAAATACAAGAGTCAGCAAATTGAATTTTATTTTTTGAAAATATACCTTATCAAACATACTTGATTTAATACTTTGATGAAAACATATACTAGCTGATAGGGGTGAACATGCAGAAATACAACTATGTGACATTTCGTTAAAAAAAGAGCTACATAATAATTACATGGCAAATATTAACCTGTTAACTACTATCCAGTGAAAACCAGTTTAGAACAGATCCTAGCAATACTTGCTTTCACCACTGAATAGCAGGATTTCTGGTGGACTTCAAGAGAGATCAATACTCAACATGATACGGCTTGGTATTTTCATCGATGAGCTGCAAGAAAACATGAAACTACCGTTTGATAAAGTTTCAGAAAAAGCAAAGATCTGCGGTGTTGAACAAAAGCGAAGACTAAGCAGCTTTGTAACAGCCTGGGTTACAGTACAGGGAAGTGCAGGTGGTTTTAAATGAGGACCTGCCGGAAAACAATTTGCCAGTTATACACAATATTATACGACTTTGGGGGGCAGCTGGGTAAAACATAAGATGATATATTGGAAATCTGATTTTATGATCTGATGGTTGAGTGATCGGAGTCATGTAAAGACACAGAATTATCACCCGATTTATTAAAAAATGCACTGTTTCTGCAGTAGCGTACCAACGTACGAGTACAAAGGATGGCGGGGCGAGAGCTGGGGGTCAGGGCTCAGCCCTGCCCAAGGCCAGCACGTGTTTCTTCCACCCGAGAGGTCACACCGCAGCTACCAATTCTCTGCCCCCCCGGTGCACAGGCGCCAGTTTTGTCCGCTACCCGTTACCGCACGCAACTCATC